TGTAGTAGTTGTAGATCTGAAGAATACAATTGAGGAACTAAAAAGAGAAGGCAATCATGAGATTCTTTAAACGGAAAAGGAAGTTGCGGATGAAACACATCTTAGGCTTGAGATGAGATAAAATTAGTGAAACCTAGTTCGTGTGTTGAACTGAAGAAAAACAAACAACTTCAGGAAGAACTAGGTAGAGTCAAGAGTGATCTTAAAAAATCACTTAACTGGACCTGATCCTCTGATTCTATCACTGCCATGTACACGAACAATGGGAGAAATAGGCAGGGAATCGGGGTTCTAAAGGAAAAAAACTCCTTACAACCCTCATATCAAGTACATTACTGTACATGACAACTGACTCTTCATTCACTGTGGTAACACTGGGCACTTTAAGGAAACCTGTAAGGCCAAGTTTCAGTCTCCACAAAAAAATAAAGTTTTTGCTAAAAAGGTAACTACTGCTAGAGAACCTGGTCCCTCATATAAAATATGCATGATGCCTGCTTGGACCAAAAAAACTCTCATTCATCCCTTTCCTCATTACAAGGGACCCAAACTTATTTGGGTTCCTAAGTCTAAACCTTAATTTCCTTGTGCAGGGAGCAGCGAAGGGGAGTTGCATGGATAGTTGTTGCTCAAAGCACCTGAAGGCCCTACAAAAGGGGGAGTGTATCCTTTGGAAATGACAAGAAGAGATACATTCTGGGAATTGGAAATATTAGGAATTCCTTCTCACTCTATTGAAAATGTGTACTATGTCAACTGATTGAAGTGCAACTTACTGAGTGTTTTCCAAATTTGTGACAGTGGAAAGAAAGTGGAATTTGTGTCAAAGATATGTACAGTCACTAATCTTGTGACTGGTGAAGTGGTGTTAGTGGCAAAAAAATATAAAAATATCTATGTTGCTGATTTTGAGTCCTTGTAAAGTGTTGATCTCAGCTGTCTAAGTGTTGTTGATGATGATGCTGAATTATGGCACAAAAGTCTAGGTCATGCAAGTTTTACGTTGCTAAACAAATTGGTCAAGAAGGATCTGGTTCGTGGTCTGCGCAAGTCAAGCTTCAAGGATCACAAGGTGAGTGATGCGTGTACAAAAAGAAAGCATGTCAGATCCTCTTTCAAGCCCAAAAAGGAAGTTAGTACCTCAAGGCCACTTTATCTTCTCCACATGGATCTATGTAGACTTATGAGAGTGCCAAGAAGAGGGGAAAAGAGGTACATCTTGGTTATCGTGGACGACTATTCCAGATTCACCTGGACTCTATTTCTCATAACCAAGGATGAAACCTTACAAGTGTTTGTAGCATTTGTCAAGTAGATCCAGGTGAAGATGAGTAATAATGTAGTATTTATCAGGTCTGACCATGGGACAGAATTTGATAATGCCAAATTCGATGAAATTCTATATTGAAAATGGCATCACTCACAATTTTCCAGCTCCAAGAACACCGCAACAAAGTGGTGTTGTGGAGAGGAGGAATAGGACTCTTAAAGACATGGCAAGAACAATGTTGATTGGCAGTGGTGTTGCAAAAAGTTTGTGGGTAGAAGCAGTCAACACTGCATGCTACTTGATAAACAAGTGCATGATCAGGTCCCTTCAAAATAAAACACCATATGAACTGCTGAATGGAAGGAAGCCCAAGCTGACATATTTGAGGAACTTTGGATATAAATATTTTGTTCTCAACAACGGTAAGGAAGCACTTGGATTCGATGCCAAAATTGATGAAGTAATCTTTCTAGGATATTCATCACAAAGCAAAGCCTACAAAGTGTACAACAAAAGAACTCAATATGTTGAGGAAAGCATGCATGTGATCTTTGATGAATCTCACCACTCTTGTGAAAAGGAATTGCATGATAAGGATGATCAAGACCAAGAACATTCAACTATCCCTGGTGAAGTCTTTGACATGGAAAATGGAAAGGCTGACATGATGAGTCACGTCAAGAAGTCTAATGAGGATGGTGCAACTATATCTCCAACTGATGGGGAGGAGCCTGGTCTCGCAATCACAACAACTGAAGCTGAGAACAGAGTTATCGATGTTATCCAAGGCACCCCACATGCTGAGATGAAAAACAGCCAAGGACCACTGTTAAAGATACCTAGATCATCTATCAATGAGATTCAGGTGTCAAATTGGAAGCACAAAGGTTCACACCCTCTTGAAAACAAAATCACTCCTCTTGATTCAGGAATTCAAACCAAATCAAAGGCTAGAAACTCACTTGCCTTCGCGGCCTTTCTATCTCAAATAGAGCCTAAAAATATCAAAGAAGCATTAAAAGATGCAGAATGGATTACAACTATGCAAGAAGAGCTCCATCAATTTGAGAGGAACAAGGTATGGCACCTGGTTCCACGACCTGCAAATCGAACTGTTATAGGAACCAAGTGGGTATTCAGGAACAAACTTGTTGAGTTTGGAAACACAACTAGGAGCAAGGCAAGGCTAGTAGTTCAAGGCTATAATCAGGAAGAAGGGATTGACTATGATGAAACTTTTTCTCCAGTTGCTCTAATGGAGGCAATCAGAATTCTTATTGCCTTTACATCCGCATATAGAATTCAAATTTTTCCAAATGGATGTCAAAAGTGCATTTCTGAATGGTTTTCTAAAAGAAGAAGTCTACATCAAGAAACCACCTGGATTTGAGAATCATGAGCATCCTGAGCACGTCTTTAAACTTGACAAGGCTTTGTATGGGCTAAAGCAGGCTCCTCGCTCTTGGTATGAAAGGTTGTCAAAATTTCTTCTAGAAAATGGCTTTACTAGAGGAAAAATTGACAACACTTTTTTTCTGAAGAAAGAGGGAGGAATCTGCTCATTGTGCAAGTCTTTGTTGATGACATCATTTTTGGAGCAACAATCGACTCTATGTGTGATGAATTTGCAAAACTCATGGGAAGTGAGTTTGAAATGAGCATGATGTGGGAATTGAATTTCTTCTTGGGTTTACAAGTGAAGCAAACTCACAAGGGAACAATGATAAGCCAGTAGAAGTACTTCAAGGAGCTGCTGAAGAGATTTGACGTGGAAGCATAAAAAATCATTGATACTCCCATTGCCACAACCACTTGACTAGACATGGATGAACCTGGTTTCTCTGTGAATGAGGCCATGTATAGAGGTTCTCATGTACCTCACAGCAAGCAGACCATATATTGTCTTTAGTGTGGGTCTTTGTGCCAAGTTTCAATCTAATCCAAAGGAATCTCATCTGAAGGCAGCCAAGAGAATCCTGAGATATCTCAAAGGACCTGGTTCTCTACTATTCCCTAGGAGACAACTTTGATTTAGTTGGGTATGCTGATGCTGATTATGCGGGGTATCTGGTGGATAGGAATAGCACTTCTGGAGTGGCACACTTTATGGGTTCATGTCTAATATCATGGGGTACAAGAAAACAAAACTCAGTGGCCCTCTCAACTGCAAAATCTGAATACGTGGCGATTGCCTCTTGCTATTCTCAACTACTGTGGATTAAGCAGTAGTTAGAAGACTTTGGAGTGTTCCCAGATTTCATGCTCTTACTGTATGACAATACCAGTGTACTCAACATGGCCAAGAATCTAGTTTAACATAAGATAACAAAGCACATCGATGTGAGATACCATTTTCTTAGAGACGATGTTGAAAAATGGCTCATCTATATGAAATTTTGCAACACAGAAGATCAAATTGCAGACATATTCACCAAAGAACTAAGCAAAGAGCACTTTGAAAGGAATTGGTTCTCATCGAAGTTGCAAAACTTCAATTCCCAGGAAATTTGTGGTTGTGACCTCTCCTTCTGCCTCATTAGAAAAAAGGTTAAAAAAGATACAGCCGAAGAAGAAGAGAATCGGGAAATTTCCAGTCTACGAATGGAAGAAAGCTCTGGCAAAGACCAAGATGTTGGTCATATCCATGATGAATCGACAATGACAGTCGTTGGCCTTGAGTCTACAGGTAATACTCCTCCTACTTCTGGGTTTACCATAGGGTTACAAGAACAAGAGGCCATAGAAAATATGTTGTCTATAGCTGCTGAGGGAGTTGTTATTGAGGATGGTGAGGGTGTGTCTGAGTCTCAGGGGGAAGAAAATAGTACATTAGTGGAGAATAGGGAACTTGTGCCTGTTGAATCATCAGCACCCGACAGTACTACTGAGACACCAACTGAGTGACCTGATCCCTCCACATAGGAGCCAACCCTTGGTTCCTCAAGCACCCCAAGTCAGTACTGATCCTGCTTCCTCTCCTCACTTCTACGTTGAGCCTTTGTCCATGGTTGTTCCTGGAACAAGATCTTTATCTAAAGAAGAGAATGAGGATAGTGAAGATGATTATGATAATGTGGCTATTGCTAGTTTTATCAGGGCTAGGAGTAGACAGGCTACTACTCAAGTGCAACCCCCTAAGAGACCTACCACTAGGTTGCAAAAGAAGGAGGCTCTTGAGTCTGTTATTAAGAAAAGCCGAGAAAAACAAAAGAGGGGAAGAATGGTAAAGGATGGGAAGATTGTGAATGAGAAAGTAGTGCATGTTGTCAATGTTGATGATGAAGTGGATGAGGAACCTGGTCCTTTAACTTGCAATTTCTCACAGAAGTACTCTATCCCCAAGTCACAAAGGGGGTTCTTTGTGGGTACGGAGAATTTGAACAAAGTTGAAGGTGACAACTCTGGTGAAAAGGTAGTTGAGGAATATGGAGAAAAAGTGACAGAAGAATCAGTTGAAAAAGTGTCTAAGAAGAGGAAGGGTGATGCCAGTGAGGAACCTGGTTCCTCCAAGAGGGCCAAGGTTGATGATACCCAGGATGTTGGCAAGGAAAAAATGAAAAATCAAAAGGTGTTGTGGGGCCGTACATTTTCCCCTGATATTCTGGATATGGTTGGCATGCGCCAATTGGTGGAGATCTGTAAATTCCAACAGTGGACACAAAGCTTATGAGGAAGAAGGCACAATTTTTATGCCGACTTCTTTACATTTGAGGATGATCATATTTATATGATGGTGAATGGTGTTGATTTTGTGATGGACTCTGCTGTGTTGGGAACATTTTTGGGAGTGCTTGCTGAAGGTTTATCTTCTGTTCAAAAAACCTGCTCTTTGAACTTTAGAAATGCCATCTTGAAGGATAAGGCAGTTCAGCAAAGGGAACGGGTATTCAAGAAGGCCCTCCTTCCAGTGTACCAATTACTGTTTGAATTAGTGAACAAGGTTTTGCTCCCTTGAGCAGAGAGAAGGTCCATTACATCTCGAGAAGACCTGGTTCTTATGGAAGCACTGGATAGCTACACAACTATCAATCTACCTGGCATCATGATAGAACATATGCAGAAGGTGGCAGAGTTCAAGGATGGTAATCATGGGTTGCCTTAGGGGTTCCTCCTTCTAAGGTGTTTGAGTTCTTCAAAGTCCCTTTGGGAAAAGCTAAAGTGGGTACTCGTAAGCAAATCTTCTCCAAGACCACCCTCGAGGAATGTGAGTGCATTGATAAGGTTGGAGGGGTTGGAAACACTTTTACTATCTCCCAGTTGATCAACGCCCAAAATAGTGACATTGATGAGATAAGGAAGCTAAAGGCAAGGAATGCCATTCTTGAGGGTCAGCTAAGTCAGCTTCAGGAGGCACCTGGTTCCAGCAGCTCTCAAAGCACAGAGGTTGCCCGTTTGACCAAGGAAAATGCCGACCTGAGGAAACAGGTTGAGCACCTGAAGGAGAAAGTGCTCAATGAGCAGATTTCAGCAAATTCTCGAATGGACATCCTTCTCAAAACCCTTGCCTCTTTCTCTAAGCCTTCCCCTTCCAGTGCTCCCTAGAAAGTGTTCCCTTTCCATTGTTAAGTCCTAGTGTCTGTTTTCTATTTTAGTTATGGTGATGTTTATGACTGATACTTTTGTTTTTACTGTTTTTATTCTGTGGATATGTTGGTAACAATGGAACTGCTCCCTGCTTAATATCTAAAAGTTAATGAAAGCTTCTTCCTTTTGCTGTGTATGCCTTGCTCTTATGTTCTGTTTTTAATCATGTTTGTGTGCACACATGTGGCATGAGCTAATCAAGCTAGACTTCTTTTTGCTTATTTCTTGTTGCTACTCTTTTTATGATGCCAAAAGTGGGAAAAATAATTAAGGGGGAACAGATTCAGGGGGAATACAGGATATGTGTATGTCATTCTGGTTCTTAAGGGGAACTTCAATTATAAGTTTGTCATCATCAAAAAGGGGAAAATTGATAGGTTATATGTACCTTGTTATGTTTTGGTGATCTAACAAACTTAATGACAAGAACCAGACAAGGAACCTGATACTCATCCTCAAGTACGTGAGAATAACAATCTCAAAATCGAGATGTAAATCAACTCTTCAGAAGTCAAAGAAACGACAAGGGGAACAGATGGACATCAGTCCCTTGGTAACCGTACCTGTCAACTCTCCAACATCTGTAAAGTTGTTGCCTGCACACGCAACAGTGCAACAGTCAACTTCATTGAGAATGCTTCTGTACCAAACATGATTGCATCATTCAAGTGATGTCACCAATGTTATATTAACATTAAACCAAAGGCAAAACATCACTTGAACATTGAAGAATCCATCAAGAACTCTCTCAAGTGATCAATCAATCTGGCAAGTGATTCTCAAGAGCATCAAGAACAAAGAACAACATTACAACGGACCAGTTTCCTGTATTGAGTTATTACATGTCCTTAGTTGTGTTGCACCTTTGTTAAAGTTCTCTACTTGTAATTCCTAATTTAACTTAGTTAGAAGCACTGTGTAGGAAACCTTTGTAAATCATAAACCTTGTGTTTGTGTCTTGGCTAGAGTTAGTTGATTTGTAAGTCTTTGTAATAGAGTTATTACAAAGTGGCTTGTAATAGAATTGTTACAAGTTAGTGAGGAATTAAGAGGTTAATTCCTAGGTTACAATAGATTGTAATCTAAAGTTTGCTCAGTAGTGAAGTTGAAATCCAGTTTTCCAAGTAAAACTTCTTTGTGTCATTTACTTAATACAGTGTGCATGTGTTCTCTAGGAACTAATAAAGAACTTGGTTCTCTATATAGTTTGGTGCACCCTTAAATTCTATCAATCTAAAATTAAGAATAGATATACATCAAAAGTCTTTCTCATGATAAGACAACCATATTGAATGGACTTCCACCTTAATTATTTAATTAATTAACATCCAATGTCTTTAAATATAAGACTCCTCTAAGTGTAGAGGAAAAAGTTTTTTTTTTTTCTTATTTATTTATGGTTGTCAAGTTTTCAAGTAATAATCAGTAAGGTCCAAGTTATTGAAAATAATTGTGATGTTTCAAGACATAAAAAATTAAAATTACGTTTGCTGTCTTAAGCACGTGCTTCACCTTATCCCACGAGTATTGACTATTGGACTTCCATTGATTTCCTTAATCTTTTTCTTTTTCTTATACAACAATGAGAAGAAAAAGTCTTTTACATGTAATTAGATGTACCTATTAATCAGTATAATAACATCATATGCATGAAACATACAAGCAATCTTCTACAGCAGAAAAGTTAAGAATTAACAAGGCACTCGAAAGGCCGATCGCTATCTCATAGGTATTTTAGTGGTAAAACCGACAATTACATTGCTCTATATCAAAAGTCATGAGCCGAAGCGAACACCAATCCTCTGTCTATTGGCGAAGGAACGAAAGCCCGGCCTATGCTTCAGTATAAAAAAAAAGTACGTCAAGGTTACAAAGTTACTTAGCTGTAACTATATAAAGGGAAAGTCTTCAGTACGGACTGTATCACTTGCCACATATTAATGACACTAGCTATGAATAAACTTCTATTTTTTTGTAGTTATCTCTTTTTGTCAAATTTAAAATCAGCACTCAATTTATTCTTTCAAATCTCACACTCTCGATGCGCTTCAACTATCTTCTGTAGAAAGATTGAGACCCTTTCAATTTACTATTATGTCTTTAAATAATACTAAGAGATAAGACATTTCAAAATTTACGTTCAATCAGTTAGCCCTACTTTTAAACAATTCATGAGACATCATTTTCAAGATTTTTGTGTTGAATTTTCCACTTGGACATAGCAGATGTCAATCTAGTACTATTTTTACCAAATTTTTGCTAAGGTGTATTTGTCTTTTTTCCTTGGGTTTACACCCCTACCTACCCTAAACCTCACCCTAAGATTAATTAAAATATAACTTAAATAGTTGTCTACCTAAGCGCTTAAATTTAAAATAATCAGCGCATATTACATATATGTATATACATAATCTATGTATAATATATGTTTAATTAGATATAATTATTATATAATTGTGTATACTGACTAGAAAAAGCAAGCAGTAAATTCGGTCGGCTATTTGTATAATATGACACTCTTCATTGTCCATGAAATATGTCATTATCTTCCTTAAAGGAAAAACTTAAAAGACTTGAGGAGTTGGATTGGATCTAAGTCAAGAGTAAAAGAGGTGAAAATCTTGAAAAGTTTGTTTGATATATATGTATATGTCCATTTCTTTCAAGTCCTCATCCATTGAACCCTTGTATATATAAACATCAACATATGTATTGAAACTCAAAAGCCTAATTAACAAAGATGGAAATTTCATCCCTTGATCAATTCCCAAATTTTGATTTCTTGCAAGATCAATTTCCATGGGAATTTGAGTACTCCGAGCTAATCAATGACCATGTTGATCAGATACCAAGAAGTTCGTNTACTCTGAGCTGATCAATGACCATGTTGATCAGATACCAAGAAGTTCGTCAATCTCAGAGACTAATTCCTCTAAAGGAAGTAGCGAAGAAGGGTCCGAAGAAGACAGAACTGGCCATCCTTCTCACCCCACTAAGGAAGTAGAGCGCGGTAAAAAAATTCCATCGTTCAGTCGAAAAGGACAAATTACCATCTTTGATCAGATACCAAGAAGTTCATCATCCTCAGAAACTAATTCCTCAAAAGGAAGTAGTGCTGACGAAGAGGTGACATCATATTCCATCAAGAGAAAAGACGCAGAAGCAAACAAAAAAGAATTAAAAGATGAAGAAAAGCATTATATAGGAGTTAGAAAAAGGCCATGGGGGAAATATGCAGCAGAAATAAGGGATTCAACAAGAAATGGAATTAGGGTTTGGTTAGGAACATTTGATACTGTTGAAGAAGCTGCTTTAGCTTATGATCAAGCTGCATTTTCAATGCGTGGTCCTTTAGCATTTCTCAATTTTCCAATGGAAAAAGTCAAAGAATCACTTCAAAATATTAATATGAATTCTAACCAATTATTAGATGGATTGTCTCCAGCTGCTGCTTTAAAGGAAACACATAAAATAAGAATGAAAAATGTGAAAAGAAGAAGAAATAGGAAGAAGAAGAAAGCAGTTCTTGTTTTTGAGGATTTGGGTGCTGACTTATTAGAAGAACTCTTAATGAGTTAATCTTAAAATCAGAGGCGGAGCCAGGAATTTAACGTTATGGGTTCTAAGTTCTAAGATGTTAGTATTCGGGTTCTAAATTTTATTTTTGTATATATTAATAAATTTCTTAAATATAGAGTTTGAACTTGACCTATTGAGTTACTTAATATTGAGTTTCCTATGTTATGTTATTTATGCTCTAGTTAAATCGTCCATTGACGTGATAAATATTTTAAGATTGTCCCACGTGTTGAGTTAGAACCAAAGTCAATTTTCTTTACGTCTTTACTCAATTGTGATTTTGTATCCATAATTATCGACATGTCGTTTTGTGTCATATCAACTCTTTGCAGGAGTAGAGTAAAAAAATGAAGTTTTCATGTGTGAATAAAGTCTCACAATAGTAACTTAAAAGATTGGGGGCCTACACATAATTAAGGTGTAGAGATCTCTTAATAGTGTGAGGCATCTTGAGGAAAATCGTACGGTCTTGACCAATATAGATAATTTCACATCATGTTAATGTATCGGCGGGCTGGTTGATCCCAACAACTGTCCAGATTCGACGAGACGAGTATGAAAGTGATAGAGTGATAGTGTGGGACTAAATTTGCTTACTCTTACGAGCTTGGAGATGTGTACACAAGATGAAGCTAGTTGTAGGCCTATTGAAAGTCTGCATATAAAATGTAGGTATCTCTTAATAATGTGAGGTCTTTTGAAAACAATTATGCGGGTTTAGCTCAAAGCGAATAATATCACAACATGTTAAAAATATATTCGAGTTGGTTAAACCCAACGGCCAACACTATGATATTGTGTCTGAATATGATTTTCTTATACATTTTCCAAAAATTCTCTTAAGTTATTATTGTTAAAGTAGATTTTTAATGTATAGTTTAAAATTTTAAAAGTGGAGCAATCAATATACAATCAAACTAAATTGTAGGGGTCCGATCCATATATATCCTATGTTGCGGAAGCCAAATGTATATAGTGTGAATAAGTCACAACTACTATACCAAAAATTA